ACCGCCTAGCTCGCCTATGCCTAGAAACGGCCCTGCTCTGTGATGTGGTTGCTATGAGGCTAGAGTGGTTGCTAGGGTGTTGCTATGCAGTTGCAAATCTGTTCTGAGTGATTTGAAGAAACCTTGAGTTGTTCTGGTTATGCAAAGTATCTATGGTATGGTTGCTATCCTACTATAGTGGTTGTTAGGGTGTTGCTATGGAGTCGTTAAGGAGTTCTGAGAGATTCCAAGCAATCTTGAGGTGTTTCAGTAGTGATAATTGTCTATGATATGGTTGTTTTGATGATAGAGTGGTTGCCAGGGTGTTGCTATGTGGTTGCTAAAGTGTTCTGAGTGATTCCAAGCAATCTTAAGATGTTCCAGCAATGCCAGGAATCTTCAGGAATGAAGTAGTTTCATTATACATTATTCACAAAACTACTGTATGTGCTTGTTGCAATTAAGATTACACTATTACCGCCCATGAAAAGCAGGTGGTAAATTAAATTGTATTATAATGATAGTATGCTAGATTGTAGTAGTATGTTATGTCCTCTACAATCAAGCACTCTAGTCTGCAAAATGGGGAATTTGTATTGTCACTAGATTCAGGAGTTAACCAGCAGCATGTACAATAAATGTACAAAACACATACTTAGTATTAATTCTCTTGACTTTTGATAAATAAAGCTCAAATTGATTTGCTGTCTTATTTTATATGCAAATGTCACACTTATGGAATGCATTGCATTTTCATGCTGGATTGTTCTTTAGAGACCATTCCTCAAATGTTTGATCAAACACGTGGCTGTCATTTGTGTAACATACGTAAAACATACTAGGTCAAACAATCTGTAAGGATTATCTGCTGAAATGTTACAGTTTACTCTAAATGACTATGTTCCCGTGAGAAGATCCCAAGCATTTTATATAGCATTATTTTCTTTACAACTTAACCACAGTGTGTCAGCCATATGACAGTTTGGGACATTCCATGAAGCTGCTCTTTCTCTACAAACATATTCAGTGGTAGCCAAGTGTTTACCGCACATATACAATATATTCAAACAGCACATATACTGTACATGGAGCAGCAACTGGATGAATATTTTATCATGCCAATGATGTTTAACAGCAAACTTAAATACAACACCTAGAGATTTATGTGTGAATGCTCCAAATTGTAATTTGTTTACAAATGATTTCTGATCTTGCTATTTATCAGAATTTTTCATAACTTAATAAAAATCAGACTTGTAAAGGGTTTAAGTTGTCAGGGATTTAAATGGTAAAAATCACTATATTCCCCATATTTCATGCTTTCTCAAATGTTTCATCTAGATTTTTGGAATACGGTGAATATAAAGGGAACTACTATGGTATGAGTCTGGATTCAGTGCACAGGGTTGTAGCGGAGAGCAAGGTGTGCCTACTGGTTGTGAAGCCACACGTAAGTAAAAGATCATTCATGAATTCTTTCATTCATTCATGAGCGCCAAGAAGCACTGGATCAGGTATCCATGCACAAGATTCTTCAACAAGAACTCCCACTTTCAGGACATATTGTTTAGTGGATTTTATTTCATATTATTAAAGAACCACACATGCAGTATATGATACAAATACCACAATGTGTGCCTCTCTCCAGAAGCATGAGCAAAAGAGGAAAGAGAGAAACAGGGATAAACAGAGTGAGCGAGAGCCAGGGATACCTATATTACATGTCATATTTGTTGACTTTGGAACAAGACTCAAGGGCAGGAATTATGTCATTCTGGACGGAGAGATTCTGTCAGCTCCACTCCAGTTGGTACATTTCCTGTGGTCTGATTATTTTTTCATCAGCTTGTAACATTTATAGACACATTCTCACTGTATTAACGAACATACTATGGCCACACATTTGAATGTATGCATGGCTGATGCTGCGGGCCTTGTGTAGAATTTTGGAAATGGTCTAGTGTTCATGTCATAGAAAATGGTTTGAAATTAAACAGTTACAATATGGACACATTCATACTAGTCTGAACAGATTATTTTGGAAAAAAGATGGTTCCCATATGTTGCCATTTTGCTCACTGTATGGCATTCTTTCACAATTTTTTCTCCATTGTCTAACAGGCCATAATAGCCTTATACACCTCTGAGTTGAAACCCTATGTCGTATTTGTGAAGCCTCCATCAATAGAGAGCTTGAGACTGAGCCGAAGAAAAGCAAAAGTTCTGTCAAGTCAGAATGAGCAAACACCTACAAAAATATTTACGGTAAGAGATATAATGATTGTAGTTTCCTGCCAACTCTGTTTGTTTGTGCATTATGGTTGTTATCGTTTTGCACTGTCTGATTGGCTGGTGTTGATACTCATTAAAACGTTTTACATCTAAGAAATTATTATACTGATACTTGCATATACTTTTTACATTTTTTTAATTTTATATTTATGTTAAAAAGTGTGTATCAAATATGACACTTCAGGATTTTTAGGCTTTTTTCTGCTCTGTTTTGGCCTCGCCTTTATCATAATATATGAGCTATAAAAGCATGATGTGTCAAATATAATATGGATTTATTGATTGATTGTCTAAAGATCCAATAAACATCTGTTTCAAATTAGATTTTTCTTAAGTCAGGCTTTACAGGGTGAAAATATACATTTGAAACAA